GGTAGACTGTTTACTTAACCTGATAGAGCGAAGGACACTGTCTCAGCTGAACTATGGACACGCACATACATACACTTACACTGATAAGCACTCACACATCCCCCCTCCCCTTCCAATGCCTTCGATGCTTGTTACCTCCTGGCAACCGTCTGGGCCCGCGCTGGAGAGTCGGCGCAGTGGAAGGATGGCTGCTGTGTTGCCTGGGATTACTCCTCACCCCCTACCAAACCCTGTTGCTGGTCACGTGCTCTATAATGTTGTACTGTGGACATTTATGTGCTTTCTGTGCAGAGGAGTTTTTTTGTTTTTTGTTCTCATGCTGTCCTCCTATAGCCCAGCATGAGTAGAGATCTCTTTTTTTCCTCTTGTACTTTCCCATTGTAGTGTACATTTTAGTGTTTTTTTCTGTAATGCAACTGTTCTCTGACTTGTATCCCCATGTGATGTCTGTGTAGTGTGTGTAAGGTCGGGGGCGGGTTCATTCCACTGCAGGGCAACCTGCCACTGCATGTGGCGAATAAAATTTGAACTTGAAATTGAACTGACAGTGAGCTGACAGTCACTGAACTAATAGTCTCCAGGCCCACTGACCCAGAGAAACCCATGATGGACAGGTTAGCCAAAATCTCTCTCTCACCACTTTGAGCAGGCTTAGCATTGCTAGTGAGCGGGGAAGAAACATCCTTCATTTTCTTGTTCATAGCAAATGGAGTTACAACTATGGTGGAGTCTGAGTTACTCACTGCGGCACCTTGCACTGCTGGTCCAGAATCAGCTGATTCTTCTGAAGCCACAGGAGTGAGGTGAGATTTGGTTTGATGATGGCATGGGCACCGTCTCCTCCGAGAAGGTGGGGCCGCGTGTATGGAAACTGTCCCCTCCTGATTATCTGTATTTTTATCCTCTGTGACAGAGTCCAGTCTACTCACTGTGGTGACTAGCACTGCCGGTCATTTGTTTGCTGACTCAACAAACGTTCAAGGAGGGAGAGGAGATGGGGTAGGTTGGCAATGGCAAGGGAGCCTTCTTCCCTTCAGTGGAGGGTCCAACAAGTGAGCAGCAAGCAATGGTAGGGAAACTGTCCGCCTATGAAGAAAAAAAACAGGCAGCAAGGGCTCCCAGGGAGGCAGCTGCATCCTCCTTGCCCGTACTGCCCAAACCAAGCTTGCCCTCAGCATGGTTACAATTTGAATTAGTTTTTTAATGTCCAAAAAGCTCACAGAAAAGGTAGTGGATGACAGAAAAGTATCAAAAAAACACTACCAGTATGTGACTCTGATGCTGATTTGCACCCTGGGTTACGCTCTAGCAGTAACTCCAGAGCTGGGCGAGCAACTTCTCCTCTGAGGCGACATTTGAGTCCGCTGGGCCCATTATAGCGGAATTATTATGTCATGGTCAGCGATGGCAGACCGTGGAGTTGAGGAAAGTTGGACCCAAACGCTCTTATAGTGAAGGACAGTGGATTTATTTATAGTGAGTGGAAAAAACAACTATGTACAAATAAAGCACTGTGGCTCCCGTGGCGATTCCTCTGTGAATCCCACACAGTGCACGTGTCCATAAACAGTGAGAATGTGACAACTCCAAAACCCGATTCCGCTCCGTGATTTCCCCTCATGACGACGCTTCTTGCTCCCGACTCCTGGTGACACAAAACACATACAGCTTAGCAGGAAACCCACAGTAGCGATGTCGTTCACATAAAAACTCATCAACTGAGGTACTTTACAGGTTTGCCATAGTATAATTCCACACTGACTGGAGCTCTGCCACCTTCTGAAATAGGACTCTCTTGATGAGGCCATCAGCTGCAGCTGGTGAAGGCTAACAAGTGGCAGGTGTGGCAGCCTCCAGTGTGAGAACACTTCTGGGTTGCAGTCCTCTCAGCGACCCAAAATATCCCGGAGCTCGTATGACCACACACAGGAAGAAAGAGGAAAAAAGCAGCGAAAACCACCAAAAACACAACATACGGAAAAATAAACATATACAAAAGATACATGAGCCCTGGGTCCTTAGACCCAGGCCATGACAGGTTTATTATTTTTATTGTTTTTGGAAAATGATGATTGTTATTATGACAGTGAGTCATCTTACACTTGTCTTACGCCATCCAATAGACAAATCACCTACACAGCTATGTGGCTGTCTGAGCTGAGAGCAAAGCACATGCTTTTGGAGATTTGGTTGTAAAGTGTACTGATTAAAAAAAAACATCTTTAAAAATTCCAGACGGTTTCCTTAATTTTTTATACACGTTGCTATTTTCATCTCGAGAGCTTTTGCTCCACTTCCTACACCAAAACTGGAAGAAGTGTTCACTTTGTGATATACTGCCTGAAAATATGTGTATTCAAAGGAAAATCTTAGATATCACATTTTGTGAACTAGAGGTTCATAAATTCTTTAGCTTATCTCTGCAGCAGAGGCGGAGGCAGACATTTGATACACCCAGGGCTTAGCCCTAAAGGGTAGTATGCATGTGGGATGGGGGCGGGGGGTTATAGGCTCTGTTTTGAGTTTTGTTCAAAAAAGCAGGACTTCATATAGGTTTTAAATTAAGCAGCAAGAACAAAGTCGGGGCTAAACCCCAATTCAACCAGACCCAGAACTGATTCGGAATTAAAACAGGACTACAACAGTTCAAAATCAGGACTACTTAGGACTTAACCAAGACAGAACCAGAATCAGAACTAGATGATAGTAGCACTAAAACCTGCACTACACTTATTTTTTAATTCTACCGAAGTCCACTATTTAGATTCAGAAAGGTTCATATAATTATTTAGTCTTGCTGTGAAAACAAGCCTGCATAACTTAATAAATGTAGAATTTGAAAAATAACAAACCTAAAAAGAAACATTAGGTACGAGATACATGAGTACCTATGATACGGTGATACTTTTGGTAAACAACCATTTGACTAACATGTGTGTCTCACCTGCTCTTGTTCATCTCTGTTCTGTCCTCATTCTCCTCTCTCTCTCTCTGCTCCTCTCTCTCCCTCTTTGTGCTGACAATCAAGCCAAACACCAACATCATCAAATATACAGTTGAAACCAGATATTTACAGACTCTTCAGATAAAAACACTTTTTTAATTGTAACATCAAATCAGACTAAATGTTTATTTTTTTAGATTGATAAATATAAAAACATATTTGTTAACTTTAAGAGTAAAGAGAGAAACTATCTGTATTTCTTAATTGCAAATGGCACCAAATTGTATTCAAACTGAGCCACACTTATGGAGCTCCACAATTCTTTTCCAGGTGTTTTGGTTGATATCTCTGGATTTTCCCATGTCAAAGAAACAGGCTCTGTGTTTTGCCTTATATCCACATCCACAGCTGTGCCACCAATTTACTCACATGGACTCTACTAACCTATCAGAAGCTTCTTCAGCTCAGTATGGAATCGTCTGGAGTTTTCTTATTAATTAACAATAAACTTAGTGTACATGTACTCCTACATTTGATGAAAGAGATAAAAAAATAGAAAGCTCTGTCTCTCTTTATTCTGACCTTTAACTAATTCAAAAGATATTTCAATATTTATTTATCCAAAACAAAACAAGTTTACTCTAAACTGATGTTGTGCAGTAAAAAAATGTTCTTGTGTTTTCCATAAAGTGTAAATATCTGGTTTCAACTGTCAATATACTGCTGTGTGTTGAAATTTTTGTTTTGCATAGGAATATACTGAACAACATACAAAGTACAATATATAAAATAACATCTACCTGAGTTTTTTCTTTGAAAGAAGCTCCTTATGTCCATTCTTGTATATCAGTGCATTACTGAAACCGATTTATTTAGCCGTGGAGGGTAACAACTGAAAATATGAAATAAACACACATGTAAGCTAAGACTCTCTAAAAAAAACAGCATTGTTGTTGTTCGGCTTTTCATGTTGCCATTTGTTGATTCACTTGAAGAGCAAGTAACTTAACATGGGTCAAATGATCAGTTTGATATCAATCTTTCGTGATACACCGTCATATTTACATTATTGGTACAGTACGAATGATTTGCTTTGGTACCTGCTCAAACTTCAGCTCTCCTCTGTCTGCCTGGCTGCGCTTCTCCAACAGCGCACGCGCAGGCAGCAGCTGCCCCGCCCCCTCGCTCTGTCGCTTAGTGTCTGAGCTCGGATCATACCAATATTAGGGGGGATTTACGCACAGTCGTAAATTCCCACAGTGTGCACTATGTGCTTCGAATATTGTGTGTAGTTTTTGTTTTATACAGTTGTCAGCCAGGCATCTAACTATGAAAAAATGACACTCCAAAAGACCCCGGGCTTCTGAACAAACAACCCGGGCTTAAGCCCAGTAAGCCACCCCCCCGCTCCGCCACTGCTCTGCAGCCTCTCTTTGCTCTTTATTTTCTAGGATGTCAGTAGGCTCACAGTCCTAAATGCACTCATTTAAATTCTTGTCTCCAACATGATTTAAATAGAAATGGTGAACTGACTTTAAACCCCCCTTTAGAAATGCACTCCTTTCTTTTATTGCGATGTCTTCTGACCATGTTCATGTCTTTACTGTGAAAACTATGACAGCAGCACGTAGTAATGTATCTCTTTTCAAGCTTAATTCGGATTGTATATGGTGACATTTCTGTCATCATTATGATAAGTGAGTTCACTAAAAGACACAATTGTTTTGAAAAATTAACTGCCATGTTTCAAGCATTTGACACATCTACATTCATTGTTATGCTGTCATGTATCCAAATTAATCTCACAAGGAGTAATCAGGAGGCCTAAAAGTGGTTCCTTTATTACAAAGAAGGTATACAGTAGGGGAAATAATTCCCCTGGTGAATTTGTAATTTTGCCCAATTGAAAAGAAATTAATAGTCTCTAGTTTTTACAGTAGTTTCCTTTTAATATATAGAGAGAACATTAAAAAAAATTATATAAGCGTCATAAACTGATCTTTGGGGGTTTCATAATCAAACTAAATGCATTTCTTTGTGTCTTTACATCTCTTAGCTGTCATATGGCTCCAGCTCTCCTGCTCTGTCCAACCGACAGCGCTTCCCCACTTTCTTCCGTACTCATCCATCTGCTACACTGCACAACCCCACTCGGGTACAGCTCTTCCAGAAGTGGAAATGGACCAAGATTGCCACTATCCAGCAAACAACAGAAGTATTTACCTCAGTGAGTCATATATTACAATAATTCTGTGAACTCATGTACAATGAGGGGTGTGGTGAAGACACTACACTGGCCCCACCTTTAAATAGGAGCTCGCTAGTCAAAGTTTAGCTAAATGTATATTTAAGGATTTTGTTAGCACACAAGCAAAATTGTGAACTAGATGCATAGTCTTATAATATGCTCCACTCAAACTGTGTACTAACACATCCAATTACTGCAAGGGCAGAAAACTTAACATGAAAAGCTTTCTCTCATTTTATAAAATAAATTACTCTGAATTCACTGAAGGATAAGACTATAATAATGTGAAATATTTTGCCATTGAAAACAAGAATAATGATCTTAAGCTTTTATTTTACTTTAAAAATACAAGATGTTTTTTTGCGACAGCTCACTTTGACACTAAAATATTTCACTCGAAACTAAATTTTATGGTTGCACCATGTATTTTTCAATACTGTCCTGTGAAGTGGAAAGGACTTGTCCCCCAGGCTGCTTTCTAACATGTGTGTCACGGTACTGGGTCCGTGACCCAGTGTTTTATGTTTATTGATTAATCTGTATTTTTGGATTTAGTGTCATTCATGTTTTTGGTTCTCCTTATTGTTCTCCATGTGTGTATCCTTAAATTCTAGTCTTTAGGTTTCTGCTACTATGTGTTACACGTTTCATGTCTAGTCACACCTGTCTCTATGTTTGTGCATCTCCCAGTCAGTCATGTCTCCATGTCTCATGTGTCTCATTCCCTCATTTCCTGTCTCACGCCACACATCTGCCAGCGAAGACGTGACAATGTGATTGTGAAAGAGTTCTTTTTAACTCAAACCATGATCTGATCTACACAAGTAGTTTTGGGCCACAACATTTAGCAAATTGTGAGTGAAAACAAAGTACAGAGACCTTCCATGGTGTTTATTAAAACCTGAGGAAAATTCTGCTGCTCATGTCATCACCCTGCTGGCTAATGATGACTTTGTGGTTTTTATAAGCACTACAGTTTATGACTATTTATGCTCATAAAAACAAATTTAAAATAAAAATCAATAGATAAAATGTTATTTGAGACAAGACAAATATGGACAAGAGAAGATGAGTGTACTTGTTGATTTCTCCAACATTATATGTATCACTTCGTGATATGTATAAGATTTTGTTCTCATTTCCATCACCATTTGCCATCTTTTATCCTCAACATATGGTTTTATGTCTCTCCTGATTCATTTTTCTCCAGGCTTCTATCTGTGCTGTTTTATCTGATTGTTAGTAACATCACCTCCACCACTCACCATCATTTTTCAGAATGACCAGTTCATCTTCCCCCTCACTACTTTGCACTTATTTCAGTTGCTGTTAACTGTTCTTTGCATTTCTTCCTGCTGCCTACTATTCCATTATCGTTCTCTTTCCTTTTTTAGTTGCTGTTTCTGTTGCTCAGTCCTCTTCTGTGTGCTTATTATTGTGCTTGTCTCTTTTTGTGTGTCACAGACTCTGGATGATCTGGAGGAGAGGGTGAAGGAGGCAGGGATTGAAATCAGTGTTCGTCAGAGCTTCCTAACCGACCCAGCTGTGGCTGTCAAAAACCTCAAGGTGCGAGTTCCCCAATCATTCTTACACATACCAGCCAGCTGGACACTGATCAGTCAGGCCTTGTCTGGCCAGTTAACTGCCAGAGTGTTTGGATACTTGGCAAAAATAGGACAGAAATTTCAGAGGTAGCCTGCTGCTCAGAATGTCGAGTTAGTAACAGATGGAAGTTCTTCCCAATGGACGAAACTCTGGTGTAAAAAGTGTGATCATAATTGTATTGTAGTGTCCTTGGGATGTTTTCACACCTATTGTTTGTTTTTTCTGGTTGAAATCACTGGATGAGTTTGTAAGTGTGTAGATTTGGCCTGTACATAATGAGTAGATACAGTAAGAAGGTGCTATGTTCTGGACTACAGGAGAAGCCAAAGAATTTACATTTATTTCATGGTAAATGGACTGATTCTTATATAGCACTTTTCTACCTCTCCCGGAGGACTCAGAGAGCAACTTTGGGTTAGTATCTTGCCCAAGGATATTTGGCATGCAGATTGGGGGAAGCCAGGGATCGAACCTTCCAATCAGCAGATGACCTGCTTTACCTCCTGAGCTACAGCCACCCATTGGGGTGGCCTGTACAAACCTTTGCACGTCTATAGTATGTTCCTACATTGACAATACAGAGCACACGTGGCTACGGGACATTTTTTAGCCCAAACTTGTAACATACACATGGTTCAGATCAGGGTCAGATCTCATTCACACCATAAATAAAGTGCCCTGGAGTTTGTTTGGAACTCTACTGAGACCACCTCCTCCAAAGGGTCTCAATACGGTTGTTTTGATCCACACACCAATGAACTTCACTGAGGGAGCCTGACCAGAGTTTGATTTAACACAGCATTTGTGAAAATACCCTTACGATGCAATTAATGATGGTCAAAATTTGTCCAGCTCCTTGGAAAGCAATACAGTGACAATGTTTCAGTGTTGACAATGTTGATGAGTAACTGCAAATTTTGTAGTCAAAAACTCAAAATACTACTGTAACAAATGGCACATGGCATTGCAAGGTAAGTGAATGTTTATTTGCATTGATTTAGTTTGTGCAGCTTTCCAGCTGCCTTCTTCGGCTTAACACAGCACACAGCTCTGCCGTCATCTGTTCATGACCTCAAGCTGAAGCGCACTTGGGTCCTGCAGCAGGATAATGATCCAAAAAACATCAGCAAGTCTACCTCTGAATGGCTTAAGAAAAAACAAAGTAATGACTTTGTAGTGGCCTACCCAATGTCCTGACCACTGTCCGACCGAGATGCTGTGGCATGACCTTAAAAAGGCAGTGCATGCTTGAAAAACCCTCCAATGTGGCCGAATTACAACAATTCTGCAAAATGAATCGGCCAAAATTCCTCCATAGCGCTATAAAAGATTGCCAGTTACTGCAAATTTTCACACCATTGTGTTCTCGCATCCAAATGACTTCAGTAAGATAATGCTAACCTGCATACTACAGCTATTAAAACAGCACAGCTTCATAGTAGAAGAATCGTAGTTCTGAACTTACCTACCTACAGTTCAGGCTCCAAAACATTTGGAGCATAATATAACGATAGAACAAAGAAGCAGAGCAGCTAGAATGCTCTATCACAAGAATGTTCTCTGTCAAAAGTTCAGCAGTTGCTCTGTTCAGCTCCCACACACATATGGACTGTTATCAAAAGATGAAGGGTTACTACAAAGTTTTATTTATGACCGTGTACCATAAAAAGGTACATTTTTGTCACTATGAATATTTGATATGTTTAGTTTTATATTGTGAATTGTGTATTTACATTTTACCCCAGAATTGGGTTTGTACAACTACAGTCAAACCAGACCTTTGGTGCACTGTATTAAGTGGTGATTGTCTGGTGACCACTGGAAATAATGTTTATTCAGATAATTTTTTAAAATTACTGCCAAATGAAGTGACCAGGGTTGTTTCAAGATGGATGCCAAGTGTTAAGCCTCATTTCTAGGAGGAAATGAAGCTCGTGTGAAACATAAAAAATGTCGAATTCTCTTCTTTTTTTAAAAATAAAATCCTGTTCTTTGATAGTTGACCGAGCTGTTTAGAATGTCAGAAGAAAATCTACAGTGATAAACATAAACACTCTCTTTTTGGACATTTCTTACTCGGAGCAACAGAGCTGAGGAATTACTCTCTCTGAGCAGCAGATTCTATGTCTTATCTGGTTAAGTTATCAGATATGTATTGTCAGACCAAAGATGGTCATTTTTGTCTCTGCACAGTCATCAGGATCCCAGACCTGGAGAGCTTTGCTGGCAACAAAGCTTGAGAAAGCTGCAAAAAAAAAAAAGTTCTGACATGTGTTGGCTGACTTGCTTTCTTCCTGCCACACACATACCTTACAATGACCCAGCCCAGCATGCCACCCTAGTTGTAGTAACACAAACATGGTAACGGGATAAATGTCTTGCAGTGGAGAGAACGTCTATTATTGTCTGATGCAGGATGAGGGTTGGCTTCTTTGTACCCAGCCCGGCATGGCTTTTAAAGTGTGTGTTCTGTCTCTTCTCTCTGTGACTGTGCTGTCTTCATTTTATTTTCACTTTCAAGCGTCAAGATGCCAGAATTATTGTCGGCCTGTTCTATGAGACAGAGGCAAGGAAGGTCTTCTGTGAGGTAATGTTCTAACCAGATTCATGTGTATACTTTAAAATATTACATAACAGAAACATTTTAGGGAGGACTTTTTGGCCCAGCTTAAAATAATATGATAATAGTGGGATAATAAGGTGGAAATAAGCTGGTAATGTTATAGAGATAGCAAGTTATCACTTGTCAGTGATCAGCCAAATGATATTCAAGTAATTATCTTGGATCAAATTTCTGTAACTGGGTAATAATAAACTAACACTTGATGTGGGAACAAACATGCCTTTCAGACAAAACCAATTAGTATTAGTATAACCTGGTAATATAGGTGCTGGACTCTGTCTCAGTCTGGAGTTGCCCCTGGTGAGAGGCGGCGGGCTGGGGGTGGGTATTGTAATATCCCCTCGGCTTGCTGCCGGTACGTTGGGGTTTTTCCCAGTGGACGAGAGAGTTTGTTCCTTGCGCCTTACGGGCCCTGACTGTTATCTGCGCTTATACGCCGAGTGGCAGTTCGGAGTACACAGCCCTCTTACAGTCCATGGGGGTGCTGGAAGGTGCTCCACCTGGAGACTCTGTTGTCCTGCTGGGAGACTTCAATGCTCACGTGGGTAACGACAGCGAGACCTGGAGGGGTGTGATTGGGAGGATCGGCCTCCCTGATCTGAACTCGAGCGGTGCTTTGTTATTGGACTTCTGTGCAAATCACAGTTTGGCCATAACGAACACCCTGTTCGAACATAAGAGTGTCCATAAGTGCACGTGGCACCAGGACGCTCTAGGCCGTAGGTCGATGATCGATTTTTTAATCGTATCAGACCTGATACGATTGCAGACCTGCGATCATATGTTCTGGACACTCGGGTAAAGAGAGGGGCTGAGCTGTCAACTGATCACCACCTAGTGGTGAGTTGGATCAGGTGGCGGGGGAGGACGCTGGACAGACCTGGTGCACCTAAACGCATAGTGAGGGTGTGCTGGGAACATCTAGCAAAGGCCCCAGTCCGCGAGATCTTAAACAGCATTCCGAGGGAGACTGTGGACATTGAGTCCGAATGGACCATGTTCAGCATCTCCATTGCCGAAGCTGCTGCATTGAGCTGCAGCCACAAGGTGGTTGGTGCCTGCCGTGGTGGTAATCCCCGAACCAAATGGTGGACACCAGAGGTGAAGGGAGCCACCAGGCTGAAGAAGGAGTCCTATCGGGCTTGGTTAGCCTGTGGGACTCCGGAGCCAGCCGACAGGTATCGACAGGCCAAGCGGAATGCGGCTCGGGCAGTGGCTGAAGCAAAAACTCGGGTGTGGGAGGAGTTCGGCGAGGCCATGGAAAAAGACTTTCGGACTGCCTCGAAGAGATTCTGGCAAACCGTCAGGCGTCTCAGGAGGGGAAAGCGGTGCTCTACCTGCACTGTGTATAGTGCTGGTGGAGCGCTGTTGACGTCGACTGAGAAAATTGTCAGGCGGTGGAAGGAATACTTCGAGGACCTCTTTAATCCCACTGACACGTCTTCCGAGGAGGAAGCAGAGTCTGGGGATGAGGGGAATGAGCCGCCAATTTCCGGGGGCGAGGTCACTGAGGCAGTTAAACAACTCCTTGGTGGCAGAGCCTCTGATGTTGATGAGGTCCACCCCGAGTTCCTGAAGGCTCTGGATGATGTAGGGCTGTCCTGGTTGACACGCCTCTGCAATGTTGCGTGGAGATCAGGGGCAGTACCCGTGGACTGGCAGACCGGGGTGGTGGTCCCCATCTTTAAGAAGGGGGACCGGAGGGTGTGTTCCAACTACAGATCAAACTCCTCAGCCTCCCTGGGAAAGTCTATGCCAGGGTGCTGGAAGGGAGAGTTCGTCCGCTAGTCGAACCTCGGATACAGGAGGAACAATGCGGTTTTCGTCCTGGTTGCGGAACACTGGACCAGCTCTTTATCCTCTCGAGGATACTTGAGGGTGCATGGGAGTTTGCCCAACCAGTCTACATGTGTTTTGTGGACTTGGAGAAGGCATTCGACCGTGTCCCTCGGGGTGTCCTGTGGGAGGCGTTGCGGGAGTATGGGGTGTCTGGCCCATTGCTACGGGCCATTCGATCCCTATACAACCGTTGCAAGAGCTTGGTTCGCATTTCCGGCAATAAGTCGGACTCGTTCCCAGTGGGTGATGGGCTCCGCCAGGGCTGCCCTTTGTCTCTGGTTCTGTTCATAATTTTTATGGACAGGATTTCTAGGCGCAGCCAAGTGGCGGAGGGCTTTCACTTTGGTGGCCTCAGAATCTCATCTCTGATTTTTGCGGATGATGTGGTTCTGTTGGCTTCATGTGAGGGCCTCCAGTTCGCACTGGAACGGTTCGCAGCCGAGTGTGAAGCAGCGGGAATGAGGATCAGCACCTCCAAATCTGAGGCCATGGTTCTCAGCCGGAAAAGGGTGGAGTGCCTACTCCGGGTTGGGGATGAGTTCCTGCCCCAAGTGGAGGAGTTCAAGTATCTCGGGGTCTTGTTCGTGAGTGATGGGAGAAGGGAGCCGGAGATCAACAGACGGATTGGGGCTGCAGCTGCAGTAATGCGGACGCTGCACCGGTACGTCGTGGTGAAGAGGGAGCTGAGTGTAAAAGCGAAGCTCTCAATTTACCGGTCGATCTACATCCCTACCCTCACCTATGGCCACGAACTGTGGGTAGTGACCGAAAGAACGAGATCGCGGACACAAGCTGCAGAAATGAGCTTCCTCCGAAGGGTGGCTGGCCTCTCCCTTAGAGATAGGATAGGGTGAGAAGTTCGGCCATCCGGGAGGGGCTCAGAGTAGAGCCACTGCTGCTCCACATCAAAAGGAGCCAGCTGAGGTGGTTTGGGCATCTGACAAGGATGCCCCCTGGGCGCCTCTTGGGTGAGGTGTTCCAGGCATGTCCCACCGGGAGGAGGCCCAGGGGCAGACCCAGGACACGCTGGAGAGATTATATCTCTCGGCTGGCCTGGGCCTCTTTGCTTAGGCTGTTGCCCCCGTGACCCGGCCTCGGATAAAGCGGATGAAGATGGATGGATGGATGGTAATATAGTATTTTTGAAATAATGTATGTAATGTAAGTAATGTATTGGTAATATGTTTGCATTGAACATTTTAACATAATGACTTGATAGTAACCTCATAATAATATTTAATAAAAATTGAAATTTTACCATCTTATAATGCTGGAATGAATCCTACCTATTCCTACCTACATTAATCCTTCTGTGTAATAACATTGAAGGCTGTAAAATGCAAAAAAAAAACCAACCCCAAAAACACAACAATAAATAAATAATAAATATAATTCTCCAAATTATCAAATTATCATACATGATGGAACATTGATTCTACATAGCAATGAGAGCTAGAATTATCATACACATTCAATAAATATGCAATTCTGCTATTTTACTCTCTAAGTTACCACCACCAAGTGCTAGCAGTTTATTACAAAATGTACATATCATACATATCATATCCTGGATTTTACTATTCCATGTTCCAAATAGATTTTGTTACAATTTTTAACAGGCCTCGGAAGATATTGCAATAAGTTCTGTATATAAAGAGGCCTGAGAGAAAAAAAAAGTAGACTTCATACTACTTAGAGCTTCTTTGTTTATATTCACAAGAACAATTTAATATTTTTGAACACTACAAGGCCACTTAAATGTCAGTTTACGTTAATGTCTCAAACCTAACCAGTGTCAGACAGAGCCTTCACAGGCTGTAACAGCAACACACTTTATGTCTCAAATGTACTGTTTCACAAGACTTGATGGGTATAAAATGTTTTGTTTTTTTAATATATTGAATATCACTATTGTTGTTGATCTTAAACCCTCAAAAGTAACACTCACAGGTGAAAAGTTATAGTACAGGGTGGGCCATTTATATGGATACACCGTAATAACATCGGAATGGTTGGTGATATTAAAGTCCTGTTTGTGGCACATTAGTATATGTGAGGGGGCAAACTCCTGAAGACGGGTGGTGACCATGGTGGCCATTTAGAAGTCGGCCATCTTGGATACAACTTTTGTTTTTTCAATAGGAAGAGGGTCATGTGACACACCAAACCTATTGGTAATGTCACAAGAAAAACAATGGTGTGCTTGATTTCAACGTAACTTTATTCTTTCATGAGTTATTTACAAGTTTCTCTTTGTTCACAGCCATTGACATGTCGAAGAGGTTAACACGTGAGGAGCAGATCGAAATTGCATTGATATCTGGTGAACGCAGTAACCGGGTCATTGCAGAAGATTTCAATGTAAGACACCCTACGAGACCACCCATCTCCCATGCTACAGTTAGCAAACTGCTTGCTAAGTTTCGTGAAACTGGTTCATTGTTGGATTTGCCACAATGTGGGTGCAAGAAAACTGTCACTAATAAAGAAACATCAGTGGCTGTCCTAGATTCATTCAGCAAGAGCCCACAGCGTAGCACTCGGAGCTGGCATGTTCCCTGAGTTTTTCCAGCAAGATGGTGCACCACCACATTATGGGTTCATTTAGGAAGTCCGAGCATTCCTAGATGAACAGTTTCCTGGAAAGTGGATTGGTCGTCGTGGGCCAGTTGAATGGCCCCCAAGGTCTCCCGATCTGTCCCCCTTACACTTTTATCTTTGGGGTCATCTGAAGGCAATTGTCTATGGTGTGAAGATACGAGATGTGCAGCACCTGAAACTACGGATACTGGATGCCTGTGCTGGCATTTCTCCTGCGGTGTTGCTATCAGTGTGTGAAGAGTGGGAGAAGAGGGTTGCATTGACAATCCAACACAATGGGGAGCACATTAAACACATTTTATAAGTGGTCAGAAACTTGTAAATAACTCATGAAAGAGTTACGTTGAAACCAAGCACACCATTGTTTTTCTTGTGACATTACCAATAGGTTTGATGTGTCACATGGCCCTCTTCCTATTGAAAAAACAAAAGTTGTATCCAAGATGGCCGACTTCTAAATGGCCACCATGGTCACCACCCATCTTGAGGAGTTTGCCCCCTCACATATACTAATGTGCCACAAACAGGACTTTAATATCACCAACCATTCCCATTTTATTAGGGTGTATCCATATAAATGGCCCACCCTAGATCAAGACAATTTTTTTATGCCACAGATCCACACCCAAGGAGCAGATCATTGTTGATGTATTATTTATATGGTTGTATTAGGTTCAGAAGAAGAATGCCATAATGTTGAATGTGTAACAAGGGAACATAAACTGTAGGATGCTAAAGTTAAGCAGGTTGGGTCAGGAGCTCTGCAAGATCCTTCTCACTTCTCTTTTCCTTAAATAAAATTGGTGTTGAATTGAATTTCAACTTCACACATTCTTCCATCATCTTTTTGCAGGTTTACAAGGAGAAGTTATATGGGAAAAAGTATGTTTGGTTCCTCATTGGCTGGTATGCAGACAACTGGTTTAAGATCAAAGACCCATCCATCAACTGTACTGTGGAGCAGATGACAGAGGCTGTGGAGGGTCATGTAACTACTGAAATTGTCATGCTTAACCCAGAAACAGTACGAGGAGCTTCTAACCTGGTAAGACATGCATTATCTTATGACACAACTTTATCAGTGATGCTCAAAAAAATTGTTGCAAAAAAAATCGAACCTTTTAAAAAGCTAAAAAGAAAACCCTAAATGAAAGTATTTCAAAGCACACCCCACTTTTCAGTTATTTGTTTGTAAAAAATGTTTAGAATCATGTATGATTTTCGTTCCACTTCTCACGTGTGCACCACTTTGTGTTGGTCTTTCACGTGGAATTCCAATAAAATTGATTCATGTTTGTGGCTGTAATGTGACAAAATGTGGGAAAGTTCAAGGGGGCCGAATACTTTTTCAAGCCACTGTAAAAATGATAAACATCAAATAAACTTTGAAAATCAATATAGCAAAAGCCGTAATGGTTCACTTGGGAAAATAAGTCTTTTCTGCAGTTTTTCTTGGCCTTCACTGCAAGACAAGACAGGTAAAAAAAGAAAAAAGAAAGCATGCAGTAAAGCAAAGGCAAGGCAGAAGGATGTTAGATGCATAAAAGTGTAGAGGATGGACGTTTCGCAATCCGGTCAGTCATTTGTGTGATCCCTGAATCCATGGCTATATCATCACAAGCAATAATGACAAGAAGACTGAAATAATTTCAACAGTTAGTGTTTGTTGAATTCCCTGAGCACTTTAAAACACATAAGTAGGCCACACCTTGTGACTACTTAGAAATAATGTCACTTATGGAAAACAGACATTTTTCTATGCCTAAACTTGTTTTTGTATTAAACTTTAAGTGATTAAACAGTCACAGATTATTCTGAATCTTTTTACATGTACCATTAAAACTGTAAAGTAGACACTAACTGTCACTGTGGGTTCCCTGTTGTAAAGTCAGAGTGTTGTTTGAAACAAAAATTGTACAGCATCAAACGATTGTCTGCCAAGCCTTTTTCAAGCAGATTTAATGAAGACTCGTGGAGGTTCACTACTGAAATGACAATAACTTGCAGTGTGAACAACTTTTGTTACATATCAGTGGAAGAGCAGAACTGCAATTTTAGTACATATGCTCAGTGAAAACGTCTGAGCATGTGACCATATTGTTAAGTATTTTATACTCCCTTTCTGTTACAAGAAACATAACATTGTTTTGTTGGAATTTAACCCTATAATCCCCAATACCTTCACACAGTGCACATATTTTTAGAAACGTCATTAATTAATTAATAAGTTATTATTACTGATTATTGTTAACAAATTATTAATTATTTTTTGCCTAATAACTAAAATTCTTATAACTTAACATAGTTAAAGCTTTCATCATATACGGTGTAGCAATGATTTTTAAAATCTACAGGAAGAGGGTTTTTTTAGCCATTTTGCGTAGCCCTAGTTACTTGCAATTAGGGCTAGGCAGACATGGAAAAAAAGACAAACAGAATTAAGGTGAGGTTTGTGCACATCATGAACAATGAGCATTGTACACAAAGGAAAATGTTTTCTGTGGTATATCTGGATATAAGAATCTAACAACTTAAAATATGCCTCAAGTAAAATGCTTCAAGGTCACAATATGCTTTCTCTCTCTTTCCCTTTCTCTCTCACTGACACACACACACAAACACACATGCACACAAAAGACCATGCAAAGCAAGTGAAATGATGTAGTCACTGGGCTTCTCTTTCATATTTGTTGGGGTTTTACCTTATGATCAGTGTGTCCTGTGTCTAACTATTGCTCTGTCATGGTCTCCCGTATCCAGACCTCTCAAGAGTTTCTTGCTCAGCTCATGTCCAAACTTGGGGGTAAAAATCCAGAAGAAACAGGTGGTTTCCAAGAGGCTCCGCTGGCGTATGACGCTGTGTGGGCTCTAGCGCTGGCCCTCAACAAAACCGTTGGGCCCCTTAGGGCCAAGGGTCATCGTCTTGAAGATTTCAACTATAACAACCGAGATATCACTGCTGAGATCTACCGAGCAATGAACACCAGCTCTTTTGAAGGAGTGTCTGTAAGTGCAACACTTACTGGTGCTGGAGTGAGAGAAAAAAAGTTGCAAAGAGAAAGACACATGGGTACTGTGTGAAGGGTGTGTGTAGATATAGCATCATCAACATTTTTATGCTTCTTTCAGGGTCATGTTGTATTTGATGCTCAAGGATCTCGAATGGCCTGGACTTTAATTGAACAGCTTCAAGGTATGCTACAGCAAACATGTCTACTTTCAAATAGAACTGATTGTTTGGTCTGTCCATGTCCCAATTGCCAGTCTTGGTAGCCAGGGATTGGTCCACCAGGACCTCCACATTGTACCCGACCCCTACGGTGCCTCCTGCAGGTGGTGGGCCTGCAGGAAGATGGGTCCATGTCCCTTTTTCAGGCTGTGACCAGCCGGGCCCCATGGACTAAGGCCCGGCCACCAGACGCTCGCCCTCGGGCACCCTCCCTGGGCCTGGCTCCAGGGCAGGGATCCAGTAACCCTATCCCAGGCAGGGTGAACTGTTCCCTCGATGGTCTTGTCGTAGGGGTCTATTTCATCTAATTCAAAAAAAGACATCAGTGTCACATCTTTGTATTAAGTACACAGTGGCATTCAGGATGTGGATAATATAGTCTGACAGCATCTATACCAACAGATTGAAGCAGATTTATTTAAACGAACACAAAATGTCCCCATGAAGCTTGTAACTTATTTGCTTACCTAGATTTTCAGTAGCTCATAGAGTCTTCTTGTCACAGTCAAAATGCTAGATTTGATGCCATGTAGAAAATTGTGATTTTATTTCCAAAAAGCAGACTTGATTTAACAAAGGTGAGCCTGTTTATTCAGGCTGCTGACAAATTCAATCAAACAAAAAGTCCAAAAAGCAAGGCAAACCTAAATCCACAGGAACATACTGGGACAGATCACAGACATTGTCCCACCAACTTCTTACCATTCAGCTGACTCCTCAGGATTTGCCTGACTCTCTGCAGGTGCTTACTGGTTGCAGCTCTCCTAGTGGCCTCTTCATGGTTCAAATTTGTCTGTGGGATTCTTGTAGCTGTCCTCTAAGTCTGCAATGTTGCCTTCTGGTAGTGTGATCCCCTCGGTTGTAACTACCTATATTCATATATATAAACACCCTGAGGACCAGTCAGTGAAATACATCACAGTGGGGGGAAAGAAGGTACAGGTAAATACATTATGAGATAGTCAAGTGACTGAAAATGAAACCTGACTAGAGAACCAAACACAGACACTGAGAGAAACAAAAACGAAACTTTAATACAAACTGGAATTAAGAACTTAAGACTGGAAAGTCTGAAATGCATAAGGCTGGAAATGTAAATAAACAGCAAACAGAAAAACAAACAGAAGATATTTAATAATAAGCAGTACCTGAAAGTCCAAAAGCATGACAAATTGGGTCAACAACACTGGACCATCCTCTTTTCAGGATCCAGCACTGTGAAGTTCCCAATTAAACCAGAAGGTCCACTTAAAGTCACGAGATGCAATGTTTCTCCTGTTGTATGTTAAGCTGCCTACATCCTTCAAAAGGAAAGTGAGGCAGCCCACTTCACAAAATGCCAAGCATTTAATTTGAGTTCAGTTCTGGTATAATTTTGCTGTTGTACTGAAATATTTAGAGGACAAATGTCCCTATACATATTTGGCTTGTTAGTAAGGTTGAAGACACTTCTGGATCTTCATTAATTATGTTAAGAGGCATTAGAGTGTGAGCCTCCATTCTCATTCTCTCTCTTTGTCTGTATTTCACAGGAGGAAGCTATAAAAAGATCGGATACTACGACAGCACTAAAGGCAATCTGTCCTGGTATGGGAATGACAAGTGGATAGGTGAGGAACATTCATCTTCCTATGCCCCTTTGTTTCTCTGTCTTGTACTCCACCCTGCACCCTTGTTCCCCCAAATTCCTTTTTCCTCCCTCTGTTGTTACCCTCTCCTCTTTACCATCTCACTCTCTGTGGTCAAAGATTGGTGGTCAATTTGCATACATTTTTTTAGGTTTTGTTTAGTATAGAATAGAATAGCCTTTATTGTCATTGTACAGAGTACAACGAAATTGGAGTGCCACTCCCTTGGTGCAAGATAAATAATAAATATAAATGTAAAATATAAAAAGTACAATAAAATAATCGCAAGTACTCAAACAATAGTAAGTACGATATATACAAGCATGTGGGAACAGCAACAATTTGCTAAATTTTAAAAGCTCACCAGATATCCAGTTAAGTCACACCTAGATAACAACAGTTAAGCAATGTGTTAGATTCTATTTATTAATTAAGCATGAAAACAAGTTTAATGCCATGACAGCGATACATTAAACAGAAGGTGGCTGCTAGAAGTCAAGTAATCTGGGTGGATCTGTGTTCTCTAATAAGCACACGGAAGATCTGAGACTGCATCCATTTCCGTTCTGCCTGCACGAACAACAAAACGCAGATCTCACAGTGGTTAATGCACTGAAAAACTGTGGAGAATGTTGCATATATATATATATATATATATATATATATATATATATATATATATATATATATATATATATAATTCTTATATATACAAAATAAATAATAAATGAATAGAGTTAACCTCCTAGGACCCTGCATCCACATATGTGGACATCACATTTTGGGTTATTTAGACCAAAATATTGACTTTTGCTCTGTAATTATTGCTGGGGATTTTAACATCCATGTGGACAACCCTCAGGACAAAGGGACTAAAGACCTGAGTAACACTCTGGGCAACTTTGAGCTGACTCAGCATGTAACAGAGGCCACACATAATAGAGGACACACTCTTGACCTACTGATCTCCAAGAGCCTGAGCATTTCAAAGGTTACTGTGTCTGATGTGGGCTTATCTGATCATTACTGTGTTTTCTTTGAAAGTAAAATCTCAGCCCACATAAATATATCAACAGCAGTGATCACAAAACGGTGTATAACTGAAGACAGTAGTGAGATCTTTAACCAGGTCTTCCCATTAACACCTGACCTGTCCAAAGGTTCAGTCAATGAGCTCGTCAATAGCTTTAATGCAAAAAATGTTAAATGTAATGGACACTATTGCTCCCATTAAGGTGAAGGTTATCTCTGGAAGGAAAAAGTCTCCATGGAGAAACTCCACACTAGTGAAAAACGAAAAAAGAGAGTGTAGGAAAGCTGAGCGCAGATGGAGAAAAACAAACCTCCAGGTTCATTATGACATCTATAAAGAGAAACTTCACAATTATAATTTACAACTGAGGAGTGCAAGGAGGTCCTACTTCTCTGACATAATCACTAAAAACAGCCATAATGCTCGGGTCTTATTTTCTATAGTTGACAGGCTAACAAACCCTCCTGTGCCAGTGGCAGCTGAACTTCATTCAACCATGGCCTGCAATGACTTTGCCAAATTCTTCACAGACAAAATCCAAAAGATTAGACAAGCAGTTGGTACATCAACAGCAGATCCAGGATATGTACTGTGTCCACCGAAAAACTGTTTAAACACCATCAAACAGTTTCACCCGATTAACAGCAAAGACCTGGAGGACATCTTAGGTCAACTGAACTCCTCCTCCTGCTGTTTAGATGTCCTGCCAACAAGTTTTTTCAAAAAGGTCTCAAAGACTTTAGAGTCAGACCTGTTACAGATCATCAACTTTTCTTTATTATCAGGTGTGTTTCCAGAACCACTAAAAACTGCTGTAATCAAACCTATACTGAAAAAGGACAATCTTGACAAGACACAAATGAACAACTACAGGCCGATCTCAAATCTCCCAGTTTTAAGTAAGATCATTGAAAAAGCAGTTTCTCAACAGCTCAGTTACTTCTTAAAACAGAATAACTGCTATGATGCCTTCCAGTCAGGTTTTAGACAGAACCACAGCACTGAAACCGCTCTGACCAAAGTGTTTAATGACATATGTCTGAATACAGACAGTGGAAAAATGTCAGTCTTAGTTTTACTGGATCTCAGTGCAGCATTTGATACAGTTGACCACAACATATTACTCAAACGACTGGAGAACTGGGCAGGTCTTTCAGGAACTGTACTAAACTGGTTCAAAACATACTTAGAAAACAGGAAATACTTTGTATCAATAGGTAACTTCACATCCGAGCAGACAAGTATCACATGTGGAGTTCCCCAAGGTTCCATCTTGGGACCCCCTCTGTTTAACATTTACATGCTCCCACTGGCACAGATTATAAAGAACAACAAAATAAACTACCACAGCTATGCAGATGACACACAAATATATATCACAATATCACCAGGAGACCGAGGCCCTGTACAGGCTCTTGGTAAATGCATTGAGGAAATTAATGACTGGTTGTGCCACAATTTTCTCCAACTAAACAAAAACAAAACTGAGGTAATAGTCTTTGGCGCCAAAGAAAAACGATTACAGGTCACTAGAGAACTTCAATCCATACATCTAAAAACCACAAACCAGGCGAGAAATTTGGGTGTAGTGATGGATGCAGACCTAAACTTAGAAAAACACATTAAGACAATAACAAAATCAGCTTTCTATCACCTCAAGAATATTTCAAGGATAAAAGATCTGATGTCTCAACAGGACCTGGAAAAACTAGTCCATGCATTCATTTTTAGTAGGCTTGATTACTGTAACAGCATCTTTACAGGTCTACCTAAAAAATCAGTCAGACAACTACAGCTCATTCAGAACTCTGCTGCTCGAGTCCTCACTAAGACCAAAGAAGTGGACCACATCAGTCCAGCTCTGAGGTCTTTACACTGGCTGCCTGTCCGTCAGAGGATAGACTTTAAAGTTCTGATGCTGGCCTATAAAGCTCTGAATGGTTTAGGACCAAAATACATCAGTGACCTCCTGACACAGTATGAACCTTCCAGATCCCTCAGGTCATCTGGATCCGGTCTTTTATCAGTTCCCGGAGTCAGAACCAGACACGGAGAAGCTGCATTCAGCTTTTATGCTCCTTATATCTGGAACAAACTCCCAGAAAGCCTCAGATCAGCTGAAACACTCAGTTTATTTAAATCCAGGTTGAAGACTCACCTATTCTCAGCTGCATTTGAATAAAGCACCAAATCCACACTTTTAAGCTTAAATTTCAAAACTTACACTAACTACTGATCTTATCTATTTCTGATTTTATCTGTTTTGATTTTATATACTGTTTTGTTTGTTTGTTAATTAGTTAAGCTTAAATTTCAAAACTTACACTAACTACTGATTTTATCTACTGTTCTGATTTTATCTGTTTTGATTTTATATACTGTTTTGTTTGTTTGTTTGTTTGTTAAGTGGGATTAGAGCTCTGGGTAGCTCCCCAGCTGGGTCTAGACTGGGTCTAGAGAGTATTTTAAATTCAGGGAATTTAAAATAGAAAGTAACTCGTCCACAGAAGGACTGGTAGCTCCCCTTACGATAAGGGTTCAGATCGCGCGAACAGGTGTGGGATTAGAGCTCTGGGTAGCTCCCCAACTGGGTCTAGACTGGGTCTAGAGAGTACTTTAATGACATGGGCGACCGTGGCTCAGGGGGTTGGGAATCGCATCTGTAACCGGAAGGTCGCCGGTTCGATCCCTGGGCTCTCTGTCCTGGTCGTTGTGTCCTTGGGCAAGACACTTTACCCTTCCGCCTACTGGTGTTGGCCAGAGGGGCCGATGGCGCGATATGGCAGCCTCGCTTCTGTCAGTCTGCCCCAGGGCAGCTGTGGCTACAACTGTAGCTGCCTCCACCAGTGTATGAATGTGAGAGTGAATGAATAGTGGTATTGTAAAGCGCTTTGGGTGCCTTGAAAAGCGCTATATAAAATCCAATCCATTATTATTATTATTAAATTCAGGGAATTTAAAATAGAAAGTAGCTCGTCCACAGAAGGACTGGTAGCTCCCCTTACGATAAGGGTTCAGATCGCGCGAACAGGTGTGAAATGTGTGTGTTTAGTTAGTTTGTTTGTTTGCTTGTTTTAATCAATTTTAAATCATACTTTTTATTTGTTTTTGTTTCTAATGTCTCTGTAAAGCACTTTGAATCACCTTGTTGTTGAATTGTGCTATACAAATAAATTTGCCTTGCCTTGCCTTGCCTTGCCTACAAGGGCCTGATATCCACTTATGAGGATGTTATACTGCCACTGTTCTATCAAAATTCTAACAAATATCCTCATTTGTGGCTCTCATTTTTCTTAGAAACAAAAATCAGGTAAAAAAAAAAAAAACATTTGATAATTCTTTGTTTTTACATTCATCGGGCCCCAATATGCCCAAATATTAAATATTAAATTAATATTAAATTAAAAATGCATGCTCTGGAAGAGTTCAGGTGTTAGGAGGTTAAACATTATTTAAAAATTGAGGTTTATGTATCATATTTACTATATTTACCACCCTAATTCCCCACAATGCTTGCTTTTGGTGCAGTGCCACCAGAGGTCCTGATGATAATGAGCCTCCAATACTGATTTTCAGCCTTGTCCCTTTCACAAAGAGGATTCTCCAGATTGGTGAATTTTAATATTATTTACTGTGGATGATGACATATTGATAGTCTTTAGAGTATTACATTGTGGAGCATTATTCTGAAACTGTTCCACAATTTGTAGACACGTTTTTTGCAGTCTAGCTAACCTTTGTTTCTTCTGAAACACTGCCTTTGTAAGATGCTCTTTTATTACCCAATCATCTTACTGACCTGAACCCAATTAACCAAATTAGCTGCAGAATGTGCCTGATACTAAATTTATTTAGTAACACATAAAACCAAACATTTATCTGGAACTTGTTACAGTTTTGTTTTTATAAGTGGTGAATATCTTTTCATATTGGAAAATAACAATAACAACAAAAAAGATTACCTACAGCACTGCGTACCACTAAAACTGACAGCTGAAATGGAGGTGACAGCACATGCCCAGTTATGTGCACTAACACCAAAGGGGGATGCAGTTTGCTATTGCCATACAAAATGGAAGAGCATGCACATTGCATTCATGAGGGAGATGGAAGTTACACCTCTAATGTTGTTTTGAACACAGATATGTTTCACCTACCTACTTTCTTTGTCATCTCTTGAGATCGTTTTCTTCCAAACAAGGTGAATTATAATGGGGGCTAATTTGCTATCAGTCATGAATAGGGATGGGTACCGGTATCCAGTGCCATTATGGGACCGGTTCTGACATAAACGGTAGTAACCAGACCGAAAAGCAGAGCACATTTCGGTGCTTTATTTCGGTGCTTTTTTTCCTGAGAGTCATACACTTTGGATTCTAGCCAATCATTTTACCTTTCTGAGGATAGTAGGCGGGCCCAGGTACATACGTTCTTTTAGAGCAGAGCTACAGATTAAAAAGTCTGGCTGTACTTCACAGCAAAAGATGCAAACTCAGCAGCCTGCAACAAGTGCTTTAAGGTGATGCTGTGCAAAGGAGGTAACACCTCGAATCTGATTAAACACCTGGTGACGCATAGCGTTTTTTTAAAAGCCGAGAAATGCACAGTATTCCATAGCTTGCTGCGAGACCTCACAACGTGCACATCTACTGCGGGTGTGTTGCCTGTTATCGGACCCGGAGTTAGCAACATCCCCCAAGAACCTGAAGAGTAGAGTCCTGGCCCCTAGCCCTGCCAGTGTAGCAGAAATGATGAGGATGATGATGGCAGCAGCAGCCGTTTTTCTCTGCGTGAGTAGCTTAATGTTGTTCGTGTGTAATTTACGTTGAGTAGGCTAACCACGTTATTACATTAATGCACGTAAGGTGAACTAGCAAACACCATCGTAGTTACATGCGGCTGTCTTCTTGTTTGATGGCAGATACTCCCTTCACCCTGGCCAAAAAGGCTAAAATGACCAAAGAAAAAGTGGAAAACAGCTAAACATGAGAGGTTTTTAGACAAAATTGGTGTTTTTTCCATTGATTAAGCACTGCTTCCAGCCAAGAGTGATACCATATATGTTCTATAGCTGCAGAAAAGGCAAACATTGTTATCTTTTTACAAAAAAACAGCTAAACATGAGAGGTTTTTGGACAAAGTGTGTGTTCTCCACTCTTTAAGCACCGGTTCGAGCACCGGTTCGAGCACCGTTTAAGCACCGGCACCGTTTCAAAAGTACCGGTTTGGTACTGGTATCGGATAAAACCTAAATGATACCCATCCCTAGTCATGAATAATAAATGTGCTCAGTGTCATTCGTAGCTCCTTAGGGTGTAAAGTGTAACTTTTAGACAACAAGGTCATCCAAGTGGCCTCTCTCTGGTATGACAAACCTTCAAGGGAGGGCTTGTTGTATATGTTGTATTTTTGCAGTCATGCATATTCAAGTGAGGGACATCTGTAAGTTGCCAGATGCTTTCAGCAAGTGGACTTGTTATGTAATGCAGTCATGATGGGCAGTCACCCTAAGGGACATGTCTAGTTGCTCTCCTTCCCTTGCTGTCCGTCCTGTCCTTATAATTGGTTGGTGCCAAAGGTAGCTGTGGTGGTGACATGACAGAATTAGGCCTCCTTACTGTGAGTTTGTTGTAGATTGGTTCTTACGTGTCTTTGTGTTCCAGCAATGGGTATTGTACGAGACATACAGGTTTTCCCCTTGTTCCTCATGTTTGTCTCTTTCTTCTGCAAATTCTTTCTTCATAATCCATCCTGATTCATTAGTTTCTTATCTATATAAATCTGTCTAACCTGTCATTTTTCTCTCTTCTCTCTCTCACTTTTATTTTCAAGTGTTTGTTCATCTCCATACTTCCTCTTCATTCTTTCAGTCTCTTTGACAATCACTGGCTTTCTCACATAATGTAATTGTAACCGTTATGGAGCCAATTGTCATGGTAACATACTATCCTGATTCTACCATCAAGGGGCAGGGAGAGGTCTTAATGTAGGAGAACACATTTCCCAAAGGACACACACACACACACACACACACACACACACACACACACACACACACACACACACACACACAGGTAGATTATCTCCCTTCAGCAAACACACCCACTCACTTGCACAGTGCATAGTCTTTATGAGTTATGATCCTGGCTCCCTACAGTTTAGTCTTTTTACTGCAGAATGTGTATTTACAAGGCATTGCACAGAGGGTGAAAAATGCTTCCTAAAACTTTAACACGAAAACAGAGCTAAAATGAAGCAGTGCTTACAATGTAAAATGCTAATGTGGCAGACAGTTTCTTAAAGTGTATATACACACACACACACACACAAACACAGTAGCTATATTTGAATACAGTGTCAGCGAGCGACATCTCTGTTTTGACTAATTGCATTTTACTTATGTGACAAGAGATCGCCCCATGCAAATATCACCAAAGGTGGAAGAGAAAAGATATTATAGGCGCTGATGTGAAATGTCTGTTTTAACCAAAAAAATATGAAAACAAAAAACGCAAAGAAAAGACACAACACCAGCAGCACCTTAATAAAATGTCATCCTCATCCTCCTCACCGCAAGCCTCATCTCGTGAACTCAAGTCAAAACTCGAACACACAGAAACACATAAACATACCTATTTATTCCTGATGATGTTGCAGTTATTTATTGTCACCAGAATAGACATGCTATGAGAGCTAGCATTACACCAGCTAATGTTAGGATTTTGTGTCCTAAAAATCACACTTTGTTAACAGTTTGATTGCATTCTTACATCATATCAGGGTGTAGTCACTAAGTCTTAAGAAGCAAGTAAGTTATTACCACTCAATTACCAAAGTAAAAACCCCTTAATATGCAAGTAATATCATGGTAGCAACAGTGGTTACAGTTGAATAATATTACACTTTTTCACACATTTGTTTATTGCCCAGCTTGAAGGCATATGTGGAAAGACCAGACCCCACACACACAGTGTGCACAGAATGTCTCTTTATTCCTTTTTGCCACACAGCAGTGTATTTCCACAGGTTTGACAAACATGCATGTCCCACTACTGCTCCTCCCCAGCACACGTCTGAAGCCTCCTTCCTCTCCACTCCAGCGTCACTAAAACAGTAGAGAGCTTGTCAGCGCATCACCACAACCTGTCCACTCACCTGCCTGGCACCGCCTCTTGAGCTCACTCTTCCACCTCTCCCCTGCAGCTGAACCAGGGACCACATCCTGGCCACAGTCCATAGTTCATATTCCTTGTCTGTACTGGCAGAGAAGAACTAGCCAACTTAGGGACAGAAAAAATGGTTCTTTAGTTAACCAGCTCAGAAACAAAGCTGACGCAGGCTCAGGCAGAAAAACTGTCTCTTGCTGAGGAAAGGATTGCTGACAATGAGAACCCCGTTTCCACCTCGAAGAAGGAACATCTTTGGAGCCGGTGCAGCAGGTGCTTCCAATGAGCAGTGTGGAATCATTGATCCAGAGTAGAGAGTAGAGAGCGAGGGACACAAAACGAGCATGAGGGACACAAGGAGAGAGAACGGGACAGACACAGAAACACAGACACACGGACACAGAAAGAGAGTGGGACAAACAGAACATGAAACGGAACAAAACTCAAAGAACTAAGAACTAGCACCAGGGCTCTCAAAACTGAACATAATAATCCCCTAATTCCCTAAAACATGAACAAGACCAAACAATGCAAAACACGTAATACAAAATGCCCAAACACACTCAAAACAATAGGTCAAAACTCAGGACTGTGACAATAACTACAATTAAAAATGTATATTTATATGTATCTCTGGAGGTCTCTACCGGGTTGGTTAACTTTTCAGTTGCTGATAAGTCTACCTACGTCTGACAATTTCAATAAATCTGTTTCCAGTAGCGATTCCCTGGCTACAGCTGATAGCAGGGGTACTCTGAACCTTTGAAAGTCCTGAAAGCCAAAAAAACCCCTTCATGCTAAATATTAGGTCAGAGTCAAACAAAACTTTCCAACAATGCTTTATCATTGCCAGTTGTCATTTAAAACCAGCCTATTCTTGTGACTTGTAGCCATAAGGTGCAAACAGTCCTTATTTGCTGTTGTTATATTTTTCTAATAACATTCTACTATACTAACTAGTAACATGTGAAAAAACTATTCTGTTTTCGAGGGGTTGTCTTGTTATTACCTTTCCAGTGCATCTTTTGTTACTGTGATTTGGACCAAATCAGGTGAATTGGATTCATAATGTTACTTTGCAAATCTGGGAAAGGACTCATGAACAACGTGGAAATCAGTTAATAAAAAAATAATCCAGACATTTAGTCCAGAGCTGCATTTCTGTACCTATTAGTGCTGGTTGCAATGTGAATGGTAAATTAACCTTGCCAATGGGGCCACATATTATGTGGCTGTGTGTGACTCACTACTAACATTAATGGCTCTTGGAGGATGGGCTTTGCTAGACACTAAACTGACAGGAGACCAAACACTGGCATGCATTTAGCATTTCTGCTCTGCTAATTAGTTTCCCCTTGATCCCACTTGCTCATGTCCTTTGTTGCCTAAAGTGTTCTTAACCTTCATGTTTTGTGTGTCTGTTAGGCTCTGGACCTCCTGCAGACCAGACAGTGGTCATTGAAGAGTTTCGCTACCTGTCTCAGAAGCTCTTTGTGTCTGTGTCTGTCTTTGCTGGGTTGGGAATCCTTCTGGGAATTGTCTGCCTCACTTTCAATATTTACAACAGCAACGTCAGGTACAAAAACTCAACTCTACTTTCACTTTGTACTAATTATATAAACAATAGAGCAAATACATTTTTTGTTATGCAAGAGGCGAGATACTACCCACGCAAGAGCTATGCAGAAATGGTGATGCTGAGGAAGAACCAAAACATTTAGAAAGCTTTTTGAGTCATTTGAAACAAGTAAACAAGGACTGACTGAGAGTTACTTTGTTTTGAGCTGCAGTAAAAATAAATCAGCTAAATCTTTTGTTAATATTCTATGATATGACACAAATTAAATGTCATATCATAGAATATTCTATAAGTACTCTACAAGTAGTCATAGAAAGGGTAACATCATTGGAGACAGTGTGCATTGTGTTGCAAAGAATCATTTTCGCTGTCTGTGTCAGCATTTAGTTCAAACCTTTATGAGGTTTCGTTACTGCTCAAAGCACCAGAGGGTTCACTTTTTATTGACTATGAGTATTCTAGTGGAATACATCACAAATTCCACTGAAGGCCATGCATTCTTTGGTTTGTGGTGAAATGCATTTTAAAAGTAATCATCCCAATACATACACTATGTTTCTACTTGCTTCTTTAAAATAACTGTTGGTGCTGTTGCTCCAGGTACATTCAGAACTCTCAGCCCTACCTTAACAACATGACAGCAGTAGGCTGCATGATGTCTCTGGCTGCTGTCTTTCCTCTGGGTATTGATGGCCTTCATGTCCACAGGAAGCAGTTTCCTATCATCTGCCAGGTACACTTTTAAAGTTGCATCTAACACAATGATTTAGCTAAAGACTTTTAACACTGATGATTAATTTCCTAGTGCTAATTAGAATTATCGTTCTTTACTGAACGGCAACTACAAAATTCAGAAAATGAGTGGCAGGTGGATAACACAGGAGAGCAGGAGTGGAGCAGAGCAGGTTAGCATGGTAAGGCATAGGCTGACAATCAGAAGTAGGGCTGGGCGATATGGCCTAAAATCCATATCACGGGATAATTTGAAGCATGTGCGGTAACGATATATATCGCGATATATTATTTTCTTCTGTATAACGTATTTTCCACACTTAAAATCCTTTAATTTTCTCAAAAATCGAGAGTGTGCCTTATGTATGAATTTTGGTTGTGCTTACTGACCTCGAACCAATCTGTTAAAATCTGTTAAAAAATGTTCTAATACAACTTTGGTAAGCCGCACTGCTTGATGGATTGTCAGAGCATTACGGCTGCCGTAGTGAGGAGCTTCGCGGAGTAATCTGGGTCCAAAACTCCTTCCGCTTCAAGTCCCAAAGTCAAACGAACACTGAGACTTAAAAATGGAGTTAGAAGTTAACAGGAAGTTAGCTCGCTAGTTTCCACCGAAACATGACATACCATGTTCTGACTGAGAGATTTCTGAAACTAATTAAAACGTACAGCTCTGCTACCACTTCCAATATAAATGAAGACAGAAAACTAAACAGCAGTGGCGTTTGCAGGGTTACTGAAGTTCGACTACCTGGTATATAATGTTGTGCTACGTGATTGCTAGCGACACACCTATGTTAGCATAACATTAGCACAGTGAAGCTGGAGGATGAACGCCAATTTTTTTTCCACTCGATAAAAGTTAACGTGAGGGATTCTGGTGGTCAGGGACAAATGCAATCGCATAGCAGGATGCTATACACGGGCCAAACGTCAGTCAGGAGAACAACTGAGATTATTCATCCACAATACAAGGTTAGTTATTAATATACTGCAACAACATGGGAATAGAGCAGCTGCAAGAGAATTCAACATTAATGAATCAATGTTACGGAAGTGGAGGAAGCGCAGTTTTTGGCTTTCCCATATTTCTAAAGTGCTTCATCTCTTTGCTATGACTGTCGACTGGCATAATTTGCAGATGATAATGGTTGTAACCGCTGCGATGCTTTCGACCAAACAGGCGCAGCTTGATGACATCATCAACATGCGCTATCGCGATGGAGCGATATAGTCAAAATCTCTATCGTTGGCCAAATTTATATCGTTTCTATCGTATATCGTTTATATCGCCCACCCCTAATCAGAAGGCAGACAGAGTAACAGTAAGTTTGTCAATGGGAAACTGAAGCAGAAGTAGCTAGGAGAGACACAACTATGACGGCTAAGACAATATGGTGGTGCCCTCCTGTACCATCCAGGGCTTGATGAGGTTATTCAGAGCAGGTGGGAGGACAACTCAAGCAGAAGGATTCGGCCAATAGGTTGACCCTAGGAACCCAGAACTCCACCTAAAAAGTGAAAGATTCTCATAAGAAGTGAGAGAGGAACAGAAAAAAAATAGCATACCCAGATCATGACACCAGTTAGACTTGGAAGTAGAGCAGGGCGATATGACCAAAAATATTTATCACGATATACATTTGAAAATTTGCGATAACGATATAACTGACGATATAATTGGCACTAGAAAAATTACTTTACAACTCCACAACTTTATTAGTGCAAAAAAACCCATCAATGTATTTTCACTTAAACAAGCAGCTGTTTTTTATGTGCATTAAAGTTATATAAAATGTAACAGTGCAAATGCAAATTCCTTGCTGACAGTTTAACCAAAAGGCATTTCCAGTGGAAACTGGCCGACATATCCTCAGCATAACCATGTAAAATATCCACAAAACTTAAAAAGAGGTTATACACACACAATACGGTAACATTATGTTGAAGCACAGTACGTATCACTCCGCGAGGCTCCGCCTACGATAGCCGTGATGCTCCGACAATCCATCAAGCGGTGCGGCTTCGTAGCTCAGCAAAGTCGTACTGAAACATTTGACAGATTTTCGAGCGCCGTGTACATAAAATAGTTTCCAGGTCAGTAAACACAACCAGAATTCATACATAAGGCACATGGGATCATAAGGGGCACTGTCGAGTTTCAGAAAAATCAAAGGATCGATTTTAAGTATGCCGTATTTTCCAAACAACACAGTAATAACGACGGCCCGCTAGCATGCTCTACCAAAAATAGTGCTTTGTTGTGTATCTGACGGACAAAGGCTAAACCAGTTCCACACCACTGAAGTTGCAGCATTTTTACAAACCAGTTCTGCTTCATCCGTTTCATTTAACGATCCACTTTCGCTCTCCTGATTCTGCGTCGCCGCCATGTGCGTATGTAAACAAAGGCACTGCTCTTGTGTGTTTTACCCATATTCTATCGCGATATTTCATTTTCCTATCGTTGCCCAAAATTACACCGGTATTACCATGAACGGTATGATATAGCCCAGCCCTACTTGGCTGGTTGTTGTATAAATGAATTGGCCTTGACAAATTCTGTATCAACGGGACAAAAAGATAAAGCAACTAATTGTTCTGTATTTTGAAGTCTTCAAACTATTTCAGATTTCTTTAAGTGGAATGAAAAACAGATATTATCCTATAGTAAAACATTGTTACTCCTTCCTCCCTGATGAGACTTTGACTTAAACTTTTACTCTTCCTTGTGATGTCAGTTGTCTGACTTATTCTGCCCATAGCAGGCAGGTCACCACTGCTCTATCACAGAGGGTTGTGTACAGGATTGACAGCCTCACAGAGGGTTTTTGTCATTTCAAACTCAAACAGGGCTTAATGATGAAGAATGACTGAAGAGCTTATTTGATTCATCTACTTGATATATTAATCAATGTAATCTTAAAACCTTTCATGTCTCTTCTTCTCCACTAGTTTCGCCTGTGGCTGCTTGGCCTGGGTTTCAGTCTTGCATATGGCAGCATGTTCACCAAGATCTGGTGGGTTCACACTGTCTTCACAAAGAAGGATGAAAAGAAGGATAAGAAGAAGGTAAATGAGACAGGGAGTTGAAACTTTACATTTGACAGCTCTTTGAATTTGAATTATGGGACTTTATGCAGTTTGTTGAAAAACTAAATACACTTGTACAATACTAAGAGCATTCCAGTGTTCTACTGTAAAGTCAAATGGGAAGCTGCCTGTTGACCACAAATCTTGGCTGTAACCGCACAATTTGCACAAGATTTACTCATTTGCGCATGGAAACATTCAGGGTAAAACTGTCAGACTCATAACACCACCTAAATTTGTTCTTAACCACCATATGTCTTTTTAGTTAATCAGATTCATTGCAAGTCCACAAGCACATGTTCCCTTCCTGCAATCGTTATATTGTCTGCATACCGTCACACCACTTCTCTAAATCTCTATATCTCTGGAAACATATTTGTCTCCAGTTTAAGCTGAGAAAGTGGAAAAGTCTGCATTGCCAAGGCAAAGAAAGCAAAGCGATTCTGACTGCAGGAATTGAAATAATAGTGTGGAAGAAGTAAGCTAGCAATGTTTCCATGGGACTAATTACCATTAACATTACCATTACCCCTCCCCCCCAAATAAAGGCTGAAATAACAAGTGTGTTTAATATTATATTGCTGCTCAGTTATTAAAGAGAAAATATTGTGTGTTATTTAAAAGTGTGACTTTTAAATAACACACATACTGTGACTATAGTAGAAACAGAGATTAGGGAAAGGATTCTGGGCTTGTTTTTTTTCCCATTAATAGTGTACAGACCCCTGAAATCCCAGTATGGATGTAGTTGCAGACAAAGTAAAGTTTAACTAGTTAATCTTAGAAATAGGAAGAAGAAACCCTAAACATAACTTACACATAGTAGACATAAAGAACAAGATTTATTCTTCAGTTAATTTAAAATATATATATTAATACCATCCTTTTCTTGACCTTTTCATAAAATGAAACTTTATTTTCTAATGAAAATGTCACAATGGACCGAACAGACTCAGGCGCAGACACAGCTCTGAAAACAAGAGTTCACGAGTTTATTTACAATTTTCACCAAGGTTCAGAATATATACAAGGTGTGGGATGGGATGGAGGGTCCAAGGCTCCGAGGGATGAGGGAAAGGGAATCCACACATCTCCTTCAGCAATCTCATGTCCACACTTCCTCCGCTCACACACACTCCTCTTCTGCCACTCACACTTTCGCCTCTTACGCTCCAGCTCACACTGCCGCACTCAGGGATCTAGGAACAAGGTTCACAAACTGGTCCTGGTCCGTTTTCTATATACAGAAACGAGTATTAATACAAGCCACAAATACACAGCGACCAAAAATTAGATTAAGATGGGGCTGCACAAACTCAGGTTGTTCAACAGCTCTGCTATGAGACGCTCACGGCCTCAAATAGTGGCCAAGGAGACAGGACTAATAAGCAGCAGGAAGTGGCAATCAGAGCAGGTGTGTGGGCCAAAGGCAGGAGCCCAATAATGAGCTCCGCCCAGGCAGGCAGGAGACAGCGAGGAGAAGAGAAACCAATAAGCATGACCTGCCAAATGCATCCATGATTCTGTTTGTTTGTTTTTGTTTTGTTTTTTGTTGTTTTTAAAATGGTCTGTCTCATAGCATCACATTTATATGAGAGAAAATCGCATCCAAGACTAAGGTTAGGTTGAGCAATCTTGGTTTATTCAAAAAACAGTTAATTTGGTTATAGGACACGAATTCTGGGACAGACACTTACTACCACAATCCGTTTCCATTGAACGGATTTAGGGATGGTTTAATGGAGTGGTGCATTCAATTTCCTGGAGAGTTAATCTGAGAAGTTAGCTGCACTATGCTCTACACTGGAAGGCCACTGGCAATTGTCGTCTAATAAACAAACATGCTTGTATTAGATTCTGTAGAAATACATGGAAATGTGAGAGTCTATTTTAAGTTAATAGAAAGTGTAAATAATATTTCAAGTAGTGGCAGCTCAACAGCTCTAAATGTAAAACAAAGAAAAAGAGTATCATCAGTATGGTCCCTTTGTCTCTTCCCCTGCCATGACTAAGTGCTTAGAGGGTAGATTGAATTGGCCTCAGTTAATGATGGATTATTGTTTTCACATCCAGTTTGGTCTAGTCTACTTATGGCTTCATAAATCCCTCTCTCACAAAATCAAAAAGAGAGGATTTATGTGTTTTTCTGATCCCTCATCATCCTGCTTTAGTGATCACCACTACTCTCTTTCCCAGCAGCACCTGGAACCATGGAAACTCTATGCGACTGTTGGCGTTCTGCTTGGCATCGACATCCTGTCCCTCATGATCTGGCAGATTGTTGATCCTTTGCACATCACAGTGGAGGTATAAGCATTTTCATTTTTGGTTTAGTTGTAACAGTTTTTTGTGAGTACCCATGTAGATAACTTTGCTTTAGTTGTAAACATTTGTTTTCTTTGTTTTCATAAGACTCGTACGTCTTTTCTTTCCTTGCAAATTTGTTTTATACAACATAGTGCTACCTTGATTGAGACCAATGGTAATGTTTCAAATTGTCATGCACTAAAAAGGGAGCACTTTAATGAGTAAATCTTCATGAGCCATGTAAATCTTGCGAGACAAACATTCATTAACTAAAACAAACATTCATTTCCAGTCAAACATTTAGGCTTTTAGAACATTACACAATCCTAGGCTGTTGAATTTGTAGCTGGTGAGGTTCTTGACCTGTGTGTTTATTGTGTTTACCTGTTTTTCTTTTTCTTGTGTTTTTATTGGAGCAGAAATTTACCAGAGAAGCTCCCAAGGGGGATCTTGATGTTTTGATCCAGCCCTTACTGGAGCACTGCAACTCAGAAAAGATGAACACCTGGCTTGGTGAGCAGAACACTAGCTCAACGTGCCTTCACTATTTCTCTCAAATTTTCTTTTTATCAAAATTGTTGCTTGCACTTGCAGTGCATTTCAACCAAGTTAAAAGACAGTCAGAACTGCAGTCCTTATAGTAAAACTGACCCATATACTGGATCTGTTTCATATATTACCTATTCCAAAACAGCAAATACAAGCTGAATTGCTCCTCACTGCTATTATCGAATTAATCTGCAGGTGTGGTATATGGTTATAAAGGCTTACTACTGCTGCTTGGCATCTTCCTCGCCTATGAGACCAAGTCCATCTCTACAGAGAAAATCAATGATCATCGTGCTGTGGGCATGGCCATCTATAATGTTGCCGTAAGTTTAAAGTGGTGTGTGTGTGTGTGTGTGTGTGTGTGTGTGTGTGTGTGTGTGTGTGTGTGTGTGTGTGTGTGTGTGGCAACTCCCTGGAGGTGGTTTTTGCTGGCAATATCTTTTCAGAGGGCAAAAATAGTTACTACACAGCACTTAGCTACACTAACTGCTTGCTAGCATTCAAAACCCCTCACGGTGTGGTTTATTTTTTATTTTTACAGGCCCCATGTCCTATGGCTCATTAATCTGATTAGTTGAAGTTAGCCTACAATCAAAGACAGATGTTTAAGCAATCACCTGCAAGCACAAAATAAAACTAATCTTCCCAAAGTCCCACGCAGCTTAGCTAAAGTTGGCCTTTAGTGAAGAAAGGCCAAAGTAAGAGCTATCTAAAGAAATATGAGGAAGACAACCTGATAAAAGGAAAAGGTCAAAATATAGCAAGTTACCTCCCTATCAATCTTCTCTTGTAGTCATATTGTGTTGTCACTACGACTTAATTGACAATACAAATCACTAATTTCTGGAGCCATCTTTAGAACTTCATATAGACTGAAAAATAGGGATGGGTATTGAAAGACCCTTATGAAAAGAACATCGAGGGAACAGTTTACCCTGCCCGGGATAGGGTTACCGGGGCCCCGCCCTGGAGCCAGGCCCGGGGAGGGTGCCCGAGGGCGAGCGTCTGGTGGCCGGGCCTTAGTCCATGGGGCCCGGCCGGGAACAGCCCGAAGAGGAGACATGGGCCCATCCTCCCGCAGGCCCACCACCCGCAGGAGGCGCCATAGGGGTTGGGTGCATTGCGTGCCAGGTGGCGGCCAGGAGCGGAGGCCCTGGCGGACGACCCCCAGCTGCCAAGACTGGCAATAGGGACATGGAATGTCACCTCTCTGGTGGGGAAGGAGCCTGAGTTAGTGCGTGAGGTTGAGAGGTACCGGCTAGATATAGCCGGGCTCACCTCTACGCATGGCTTGGGCTCTGGAATCAGTCTCCTGGAGAGGGGCTGGACTCTGTCTCAGTCTGGAGTTGCCCCTGGTGAGAGGCGGCGGGCTGGGGTGGGTATTCTAATATCTCCTCGGCTTGCTACCGGTACGTTGGGGTTTTTCCCGGTGGACGAGAGGGTTTGTTCCCTGCGCCTTAGGGTCGGGGAACGGGTCCTGACTGTCATCTGCGCTTATGCGCCAAGTGGCAGTTCGGAGTACCCAGCCTTCTTAGAGTCCCTGGGGGGGGGGGGTGCTGGAAGGTGCCCCACCTGGAGACTCTGTTGTCCTGCTGGGAGACTTCAATGGTCACGTGGGTAACAACCGCGAGACCTGGAGGGGCGTGATTGGGAGGAACGGCCTCCCTGATCTGAACTCGAGCGGTGCTTTGTTATTGGACTTCTGTGCAAATCACAGTTTGGCCATAACGAACACCTTGTTCAAACATAAGTGTCCATAAGTGCACGTGGCACCAGGACGCTCTAGGCCGTAGGTCGATGATCGATTTTTTAATCGTATCAGACCTGATACGATTGCAGACCTGCGATCATATGTTCTGGACACTCGGGTAAAGAGAGGGGCTGAGCTGTCAACTGATCACCACCTGGTGGTGAGTTGGATCAGGTGGCGGGGGAGGACGCTGGACAGACCTGGTGCACCTAAACGCGTAGTGAGGGTGTGCTGGGAACATCTAGCAGAGGCCCCAGTCCGCGAGATCTTCAACGCATACCTCCGGCAGAGCTTCAGCAGCATTCCGAGGGAGACTGGGGACATTGAGTCCGAATGGACCATGTTCAGCGTCTCCATTGCCGAAGCTGCTGCATTGAGCTGCGGCTGCAAGGTGGTTGGTGCCTGCCGTGGTGGTAATCCCCGAACCAAATGGTGGACACCAGAGGTGAAGGGAGCCACCAGGCTGAAGAAGGAGTCCTATCGGGCTTGGTTAGCCTGTGGGACTCCGGAGCCAGCCGACAGGTATCGACAGGCCAAGCGGAATGCAGCTCGGGCAGTGGCTGAAGCAAAAACTCGGGTGTGGGAGGAGTTCGGAGAGGCCATGGAAAAAGACTTTCGCACTGCCTCGAAGAGATTCTGGCAAACCGTCAGGCGTCTCAGGGAGGGGAAAGCGGTGCTCTACCTGCACTGTGTATAGTGCTGGCGGAGCGCTGCTGACGTCGACTGAGAAAATTGTCAGGCAGTGGAAGGAATACTTCGAGGACCTCCTTAATCCCACTGACACGTCTTCCGAGGAGGAAGCAGAGTCTGGGGATGAGGGGAATGACCCGCCAATTTCTGGGGGCGAGGTCACTGAGGCAGTTAAACAACTCCTTGGTGGCAGAGCCCCTGGTGTTGATGAGGTCCGCCCCGAGTTCCTGAAGGCTCTGGACGTTGTAGGGCTGTCCTGGTTGACACGCCTCTGCAATGTTGCGTGGAGATCAGGGGCAGTACCCGTGGACTGGCAGACCGGGGTGGTGGTCCCCATCTTTAAGAAGGGGGACCGGAGGGTGTGTTCCAACTACAGGGGGATCACACTCCTCAGCCTCCCTCGGAAAGTCTATGCCAGGGTACTGGAAAGGAGAGTTCGTCCGCTAGTCGAACCTCGGATACAGGAGGAACAATGCGGTTTTCGTCCTGGTCGCGGAACACTGGACCAGCTCTTTATCCTCTCGAGGATACTTGAGGGTGCATGGGAGTTTGCCCAACCAGTCTACATGTGTTTTGTGGACTTGGAGACGGCATTCGACCGTGTCCCTCGGGGTGTCCTGTGGGAGGTGTTGCGGGAGTATGGGGTGTCTGGCCCATTGCTACGGGCCATTCGATCCCTATACAACCGTTTCAAGAGCTTGGTTCGCATTGCCGGCAATAAGTCGGACTCGTTCCCGGTGGGTGATGGGCTCCGCCAGGGCTGCCCTTTGTCATTGATTCTGTTCATAATTTTTATGGACAGGATTTCTAGGTGCAGCCAAGTGGCGGAGGGCTTTCGCTTTGGTGGCCTCAGAATCTCATCTCTGATTTTTGCGGATGATGTGGTTCTGTTGGCTTCATCGGGTGAGGGCCTCCAGCTCACACTGGAACGGTTCGCAGCCGAGTGTGAAGCAGCGGGAATGAGGATCAGCACCTCCAAATCTGAGGCCATGGTTCTCATCCGGAAAAGGGTGGAGTGCCCACTCCGGGTCGGGGATGAGTTCCTGCCCCAAGTGGAGGGGTTCAAGTATCTCGGGGTCTTGTTCGCGAGTGATGGGAGAAGGGAGCCGGAGATCGACAGACGGATTAGGGCTGCAGATGCAGTAATGGAGACGCTGCACCGGTCCGTCGTGGTGAAGAGGGAGCTGAGTGTAAAAGCGAAGCTCTCAATTTACCGGTCGATCTACGTCCCTACCCTCACCTATGGCCACGAGCTGTGGGTAGTGACCGAAAGAACGAGATCGCGGATACAAGCGGCAGAAATGAGTCCCTTAGAGATAGGGTGAGAAGTTCGGCCATCCGGGAGGGGCTCAGAGTAGAGCAGCTGCTGCTCCACATCGAAAGGAGCCAGCTGAGGTGGTTCGGGCATCTGACAAGGATGCCCCCTGGGCGCCTCCTGGGTGAGGTGTTCCAGGCATGTCCCACCAGGAGGAGGCCCCGGGGCAGACCCAGGACACGCTGGAGAAATTATATCTCTCGGCTGGCCTGGGAACGCCTTGGTGTTCCCCCGGATAAGCTGGAGGAGGTGGCTGGGGAGAGGGAGGTCTGGGCCTCTTTGCTTAGGCTGCTGCCCCCGCGACCCGGCCTCGGATAAAGCAGATGAAGATGGATGGATGGATGGATGGGTATCGAAAACCAGTTCTTGTTGAAAACCGGTTCCCACTGTTTCAATTCCTTGGAATTGTTTGCCATTTTTGCAAACGATTCCCTTATCGATTCCAGTCGCCCCGAATGACGTCACCACGTTGCGGAGCGTCATTTACCTGGCAGGAAACACGGCGGCTCAAACGCTCAAAAGTTTGATTATACTTTACGAGAACGGATGACAACGGGGAAACTTGCAATACTTGCAAAGTAGATATTTCATTTAAGGGAGGAAACACTACGAATATGCAAAAGCATTTGGTCACAAAACACGCGATAACCTCAAATGAATGTTGTGTTTTTAATTCCGCTCCGGACTCGTGGATCTCAACCCAGCAGCAGCGGTAACGTTTGCACGTCCTCTCCCGTTAATGCAGCAGGTAAATAATCAACTAACAGTGCATATTATGTTAGCGTGATCTGCCTTATTACAAACCTGCCATTACTGTGCATTTAGGCGACCATGATGAGAGAGACAGAGTCTGGCTCAGATGCTGGCAGTTCTCGCTGCAGTCTACCGGTAGCGTCTCCTTTCAGGCCAGGATAGACGAATGTCACCAAGCAGTGACTAAGTTTGTGGTAAAAGGCTTGAACCCATTTGCCACAGCAGATGCCCCTGAGTTTAGATAAGTGAATGTGTTTAATTGTAGGCAGGGACATTACTGGATATTCTTGTGTAATTGCTACTGAATAATTTATGTTATACTTTGTTGTTGCTACAGAAGAATATTTATTTTATTATTTTACAGCTACAATTTTTTTTCCTGGGGACCCTCATTGAAGAGCCATAGGCTGGATCTCACTGTTAGGTTTGTAAGGCCATGTTACTCTTAAATTTCTATCTTGTTCAAAGAGAAGATATAAAACAAAGTTCTAAGCTAATAGACCTTAGTGATCTCCTTTTTTAAAAAGAATCGATAAAGAATCGAATTGTTAAACAGAATAGAAAATGGAATCGGAATCGTGAAAATCTTATCAATACCCATCCCTACTGAAAAAGGCTGCTGATCCTTAATTATGTCAATAATCTGAACATTTATGAACCAAAAAAAAAGAAAAGTTTCACATTTATTTGTATTTTCTGCTCTTGGCAGTAGAATCGCAGATCCTGTGTACTTTGTACTTTGTATGCTGAATCAGCATTCCAGCTCACATATGCTGTACAATATTCATTCATTACTACTGAGTCATTTTTTTAAT